CACCTCCTAGTTCCTTTGTATAGTTGAGGTTGTGGCCCCTTCTGTACTCATATATACGTGCCTGGTGCACTGATCAATACATTGTGTTGCACAACCTATTCTTTCCCTTCTACACTGTCTACAAGCGGTTTGGTCGTATATGAGTTTTTCCTCAGATATTGGATGTGTAAGAAGACTTTTTTCCCTCTCGGTCCATACCTGCCAGGCATTGTATAGTTAGCCATGGTTAGGTTTACATATCCCAAGTCCGTTAGGTGTCCTAGTCTAGTATGGTAGAAGAACCCTTGTCACTTCATACATGCCTATTACAGAAAACCTAGCTAGGTATATGTTGCAGAGTCCTTGTCTTCTCCGTCAAGGTGGCGATGCCCTGTATTGCTCAAGATGTCTGAAGAGTAGGCTTGGGCCACTCACATGGTTTTTGGCATCGTCACCATTACAGTATAATATATAATCTGTTAGTTAACACCTTGGTAAAATATTATAACTACAAGTAAGAAGATCTGTTAACCTAGACTTCTTCGTGGAAGTAGCATTGCACTCCTTTCGGATGGGAGTAAGCAGAGTAAAAATCAAACAATAAATGTCAAGCTTACCCCAAAAGAACCAACAAACATATTCATGAGATCCCCTTTAATGAACTCCCTGAATTGCTGGTAGAAGAGGAAAGAGATGTCATCAGGCCAGAGGCCCATCTAAATAAGAATAAAAAATTGTGTATCAGCCTCAATGAAAAGGGTCTAGAGGAGCTTTTCTAAATCTTGGACTTTCTCCTCGGTACTAAAAAGTTATGATTTAAACTAAACCCCTAGGATGTCATTTATTTTAGTGACATGCCATTGGGAGCACCGAGGGAGCCGATATTTGTTTTTCTCCTCCTCTAGCTGGACACATCACGAAAATAAGTTGTGTTCCTATCTCCCTCTTTTGGCATCCCTATCTTTCCTCGAAACGTCATGTTGTCAACGGGTTGCAGCTGCACATCACTTACCAGTCTAGTTTGTACCTCACACATAAATATCACGTTTGACTAACAACAATATTCATGCCACGAGACATAATCATATCCACACATCTTATATTGAAATAAGAGCTTGAACCATTCGCGAAACAAATACTCTCTCCATCCCATATCATGACATAAGACGTTATTAATTGCATCCAATATGTCACATATTGGATGTAATAACGTGTTGCATTATGGGATAGAGGGATTATTGTGGGACCTTATTGAATGAAATCACACAACATGGAAAGCACATAGTACATCACAACTTCTTATTGAATCAAATCTTGAGTAGTAGCTAGTGTCCAGGGGCTGGACGCAGGCGATGGAGCAGATCCTGCGAGCCGGCAGGATCATGGTGCTAGTCAGACGAGGCGGTGGCAGATGGTGAGGCGGTCTCCCACGGTGATCTGGCAGACGTCGACGCGTGGGTCAGCGGCGAGCTCGGCGTTGAAGCCCTTGAGGAAGTCAGAGATGGACATGAGGACACCGTCCACAACGACGCCGGGGAGAACGTCTAACGAAGGCACGGCGACGCCGGCCACAGTGCCGCCCCAGAGCGTGTTGTCGTAGACGATGGTACCGCCGACGCGGACCAGCCGCATCATCTGCTCGTGGTACCGCCTGTAGTTCTGCTTGTCGGCGTCCACAAACACGAAGTCGTACTGCGCCGCAGGGTCGCCATCCACGGCGGCGAGGAGCTCCTCGAGGCGGTCGAGCGCCTTGCCCTCGCGGAAGTCCACCTTGTGCGCCACGCCGGCCTTCTGGATGAAGGGCAGGCCGAGCTCGAAGTCTTTCTGGTTGACATCGATGGCCACCACCTTGGCATCCTCCGGCAGCGCCAGCACGGTGGCGAGGAGCGAGTAGCCCGTGAACACGCCGACCTCGATCGTTTTCCTGGCCCCCGCTATCTTGATCAGCAGCTGCAGTAGCTGGGCCTCCTCTGGAGTTGACTGCATGATGCCCCTGGATGCACCGACCAATATGAATTCCCTCCGTAAACGTTTAGATTACTAAAATATTTTTTACAGAGGGAGTATATAATATAGTACGTATTACCTCTGGTGCTTGTCGGTGAGGAGGCGCAGGTCGCGCATGCACTCCGGCTCTCGGGGGAACACCGTGGTATCCAGGATGTACTTGTACAGGGCGTCACTCTTGAGCAGATGCTTGATATCGTAGCTCGCATTGACGTCGCAGCTACCAGCCGCCATTGCTCTTGGTTGGTCTTGAAGAAAACTAAGATCAAAGCACTGGAACGACTCACTCTCTTCTCTCTATCTCTCACACACAAATTAACGCACAGATGTAGTGATACTTGCATTGCAATGGGGTTTGATTTTATAGTGGTAGTTTGTTGGACTGGGATACAGTACAGGATCCCCCACTAGTGCAGATTGGATCATCGCACATGGTTCATAATCCTATCACACGGAGGGTTGAATCGTCACCTTGCGATGTTGTGCAACAGGGGGGAGGTGGGGCATTGCACATGATACAGAAAAACGTGTACAATAGGTACTACTTAGAAAAGGCTTGTGACCTTAAATTAGTAGCGGGTGATGGGGTAATTGTAAGATTGGGAAACCACACCTTGTGGTGCCTTGTATTGATCAATATATAGAGGTTACAAGGCAGAGTTCGTATCGTACAATATACGGACACCTATACAAAGACTACACATATACAACCGTATATCTATACACATAATACGGTTATATATTCTAACACCCTCCCTCAGTCGTAAACGGGCGTCGACGAATGTTAAGACTATCCCGAAAATCCAAGAAGAGAGGGGATGGCAATCCTTTGGTGAAAATGTCCGCAAATTGAGAAGAAGTCGGAACGTGAAGAATCCGGACCTCGCCTGTGGTGACACGGTCGCGCACAAAGTGCAAATTGATCTCCACATGCTTGGTGCGCTGATGATGAACGGGATTGTGTGTCATGTAAACAGAGCTCACATTATCACAAAACACCACAGTGGCACCAGTCACTAGTTGATGAAGCTCCTGAAGAAGTTGTCGTAACCAACATGTTTCAGCCACGACATTTGCAACTGCCCTGTATTCGGCCTCGGCGCTAGACCGAGAGACCGTGTGCTGCCGCTTAGCAGACCACGACGCCAGGTTATTGCCAAGGAAGACACAATAACCTGAGGTAGACCAGCGATTGTCAGGGCAACCTGCCCAATCAGCGTCAGAGTAGGCCAGGAATTTGTTGGAGCTGCGTCGAAACAAAGTGAGGCCATGGCCGGTGGTGCCGCGGATATAGCGAAGCACACGCTTCACAAGTAGCAAATGATTAGCTCGAGGATCATGCATATGAAGACAAATCTGCTGCACTGCATAAGAGATGTCCAGCCGAGTGAACGTCAGGTACTGAAGACCGCCTGCAATACTACGATACTCGGTGAGATCTGCAACGGGATCACTGGACTTGGCTGAAAGTTTGGATGTAGTATCAACTGGAGTAGAGATGGGTTTGCACTGCAACATGCCAGCTCTGTCAAGAAGATCCAATGCATACTTCTCCTGCGAGAGGAACAGACTGTCCTTGTTGCGTGTGACAGAGATGCCCAGAAAATAATGAAGATGGCCCATATCCGTCATACTGAATTCGGTACGAAGAGTGGCAATCAAACTGTGCAACAATGTCGAGGATGATGCAGTCAGGATAATGTCATCCACATAGAGCAGGAGATAGGCCATGTAAGCACCACGCCGATAAACGAACAACGAGCTGTCGGACTTGGAGCCAATGAAACCATCCGATGCAATGAATGAAGCAAACCGCTTAAACCATGCATGAGGCGCCTGTTTCAAACTGTAGAGTGATTTGTTGAGACGACAAACCTTGTCAGGGAAGCGAGGATCAGTGAACCCAGAAGCCTGACGAGCATAAACAGTCTCGATGAGAGTTCCATTGAGGAATGCATTCTTGACATCAAGTTGGTGCATGGACCAGTCACTGGAGAGAGCAAGAGAGAGCACCGTACAAATAGTGGCTGGCTTGACGACCGGGCTGAAAGTTTCATCAAAATCGATACCTTCGCGCTGAGTGAATCCACGAAGCACCCAACGAGCCTTGTAGCGATCCAAAGAACCATCAGACTTCATCTTGTGACGGTAGATCCACTTACCAGTAACAATGTTAGCATTGCGAGGTGGATCAACGAGGTCCCAAGTGTTGTTGGAGAGAAGAGCACCATACTCCTCAAGCATAGCGGAATGCCAATTTGGATCCTTGAGAGCACCACGATAAGTCTTCGGTATGGGAGATAAACCCTCAACATGAAGATCAAATATCTTTTTAGGCTGCACAATGCCCTGTTTAGCACGAGTGGCCATGGCATGAGATGGAGGCGGTGGAGGGGCCCGCGTCCGGCGGGTCCGGGGTGGATCCACAGCGACAGGAGTTGGCGACGGCGTTGCCGGTGGTGACGTGGCTGTAGTAGGAGAAGGACTCCCAGGAGGGTCGCCATCGGAGCTCCCAGCAGGGCTCTCGGCAGTGGCCCGGGACCCAGGCGATCGAGGCGAGGTCGGTGGCGGCGACCGAGGCGAAGTCGGTGGCGGCGACCGTGGAGAGGACCGTGGCGGCGGTGACGGCGACCGTGGCGGCGACGGTGTAGTCGTATCCGGGGTCACCGTGCCTGCCACGGTGAATGGCATCGACAAAACCGGCTGCTCAGCTCCCTGCAAAAAATCATAAGTGTGCAAGGAAGGAGTAGGAGTTGACGAAGATGTAGAGGAGGCGAAGGGAAAGGTGGACTCATCGAACACTACATGACGAGAGATGATGATCTTTTGGGTGGAACGATCAAGGCAACGATAGCCATGATGCCGTGATGGGTACCCTAGAAACACGCATGGCACGGAGCGAGGCACAAGTTTGTGCGGAGCGACGGCTGTGGTGTTGGGGTAACATAGACATCCGAAAACCCGAAGACCAGCATATGCAGGATCTACGCCAAGTAAGGCACGAAAGGGAATACGATCCGAGATTGCCTTGGAAGGCAGCCGATTATGCAACATAACGGCGGTGTGAAGAGCTTCAACCCAAAAGCGAGGTGACATACTAGCTTGGATAAGGAGTGTATGAGTAATGTCATTAAGAGTACGAATAATGCGTTCGGTTTTACCATTCTGTTGCGAAGCGTATGGACATGAAAAGCGGAGTGCAATTCCATGGTGCTGGGCAAAGGAATGGAGGAGAGAATTATCGAACTCACGACCATTATCACACTGAATAGCCTGCAAGCATGCACTAAACTGGGTGAGCGCTAAAGCATGAAGGGACGACAAGTGCGAGAAAGCTTCTGACTTAGACCGTAGAGGATAAACCCATGCATACTGAGTAAAATCATCAAGACAAACGAGATAATACTTAAAGCCAGAAATACTCTCAACAGGAGATGTCCACAAATCACAGTGAATTATCTGAAAAGGAGTAGTGGTTACACGATTGGTAGAAGAAAAAGGAAGACGAATATGGCGACCTAACTGACAAGCATGACACAAACTACTTTTATTCTTTTCCCTAGGGATGATCGAAGAACGAGCTAATGACTCCATAACGGGCCGCCCAGGGTGCCCAAGCCGACGGTGCCAGAGTGCTGCATCGGCGATGAGGAAGGCGTGTGGCTGACTGGTAGTGGAAGGATGGATGGAGTAAAGAGCTCCGAAACTATTGCATCTGAGAATCTCGGTCCTGGTTAGAAGATCCTTCACAGAAAACCGAGGGGGTCAAATTCGACGGATACACAATTATCAATGGTGAATTGACGAACAGACAAAAGGTTTTTAACTATGTTAGGAACTACTAAGACGTTACGAAGGTAAAGAGGACGAGAGGTGGTGGAAATAGGAAGACGTGCATGCCCGGTACCGGTGATCGGAAGGGTGGAACCGTTACCGACAATGACAGCACGCCGAGAGGAGGAGGGGGGGACACGGAGTTGAGCATACCGGGATCGGACGCGAAGTGGGAGGAGGCGCCGGTGTCCATCACCCACTCCCTGGTGGGTGCTTGCAGCCCCATGGTCTGGAACTGATGCATGAGCGCGGCCTGGTCCCATGAAGCGGTTGGTGATGCCGGTGATGATGGAGCCGGACCGGGGAGTCCATAGGAGGACTGTCCAGGGGTGTAGCCGTAACCGTAGGGGGCAATGCCGTACGGGTTCTGGGCGTAGAACGCATGCGGCGACGGGGTGTGCCGGGGCGCGTAGCCTGGAGCGTAGGCGGGCGGCGCACGGCCGAGCAGGCCCCCTGGCCATAGGGCCACATCTGGATGGCACCGTTCCAGGGGTGCTGTGGTGAAGGCCAGGAGGGAGTGGCAGCCAACGGGGTCGCGGGCGCCGGGATGATCTCCTTGGCGACGCCAGTGGCAGCCTTCTTCTTCTTTTTTCCTTTTCCAGAGGCCTTGCCTGGGTTGCCGGTGTTGCCAGGGTTGCCGGCGGTGTTGGTGAAGAGGGCCGTGTCGGAGTTGCGGGCGCGGCAATTTTTGCGCTTCATGTCCTGGAGCGCGAGCAACGAGCGGCACTGCGCGAAGGTCATGCCCGGCATGAGGGAGATGAGATCAGCGGCGGCCTCGTATTGCTCGGAGAGGCCGTTGAGGCAGTGGACCACCATCTCAGCATCATCAACGGGGGCGCCAAGATCCGCAAGCCCATCGGAGAGGGATTTGACCTTCTGAAGATAGTCGGCCATGGTCATCTCTCGCATCTTGAGATCGCCGAGCTCGGCCGTGAGGTGGAGCTGACGATTGATCTTGTGGTCGTTGAAGAGACCGTTGATGTTGTTCCAGAGATCGACGGCGAGGGGATCGTCACCGGGCGTCATGACGGCGTCGAGGATGCTGAGCGAGACAGACCCATAGAGCCAGGAGACGACGGTGGCATCGAGGAGAGACCACTCCGGGTTCGGCGCGTCAGGGGCGTCAAAGTCGAGATGATCCAGGAGGGCGTACTTGCGGCAAGCGGCGCGGAAGAAGGTGCGCCACTGATGGTGAATGCCAGTGTCAAGCGCGAGCTCGACGGGAACGTGTCCCTTGATGGAGTGCAGGCCGACGGCCTGGGCGTGCAGCGAGGTCAAGGAAAAAGACCCCGTGCTCGTCCCAGATCCATCGGGGGCGGTCGCGAGAGGTAGCTTGGCCTTGGCGGCCTCGGCGGCCTCGGCGTCCTGGCGCTCCTTGGCCGCGGCCAGCGCCTGGTTCG